TAAAAGTTGGTTTTTTTTTTTTTACAATTTATTCCCCAATCTTTTGTATTACAATTCAGTCTTCAATATTTTTTATTTATTTCAAACGTTTAGTTCTCTATCATTTTTTAATAAAAAAATTTAAAATGATTAGATTATATTTATACACTTCAAAAAATAATTCAAAAACTTAATTGTAAATATAATAAAGTTATTAAATTTTACATTATTTTTAAAAGTTAATAAGGAGAAAATTTCGATGACGAACTCTCTCGTAAGAATGGGTGGGAAACGGTGAAGACTTGCTATCTCAAATTTAGAGAAGAAAACAAAAGACTATTAATAGGGTTATAATTAAGGTAAGAGAAGCCATGCTTAGGATTTGGATAACATGATGTTAATTGTTCTTCTTTTTTGGTGATGTTTGATGCCTTGGTCTTCCTAATATAGTGCCTTAAAGTGTGATTTACAACACGAATGTTTGATTATACTGATAGTAGAGAAGGGACAATCCGGTTAGAAGCCCCAGCATTTAAGCACGATTTGCCACTTTTTTCTATGCTATAAAAAGAGTGTCATATGGCTCGAGTGATATTTCTTTCTCTATACACTTAGATGGAGTGAAAATTATAAGGATCTTTTCAGTGATGGCTAGCTTTATTGTGTCCCTTTCTCTTTCACAATTGTGCATGCTTTGCTTTCTTCTATTCATTGGACTCACTAGAGTTATACATGGTAGGGATCATAGGAATTTTAGATGTTTTATTTATTTATAAGTATGGATGGGGATTAAAAGACATCTCCTATGTTGGAAGACACAGGAAGAGCATTACTTGACATGATATATTATGATCAAATAGAAAATTCAATTGCAAATAGGATAAACCAATGGAAAAGCACATGGGAATAAGGAGATAATTTTTGTTTTGATGTGTTGTATGACTTATATTTTGGGTTTAGATGAGAATAAGACATTTAACGAATTAAATAATTTTTTACTATGACACTTTTAAATGTGTTGCATGCCTAGTATATAATTATGACGCTTGCTCTTAACTCACAAGCTTGGGATTGTTGAAGTGTGTGTCCAAGCCAAGTTACTATGGTGAGGGGTTAAAGTTTTTCTAGGATTAGTATATGGAGTGTTGCTATGATGCCCCCTTATAATGATGTTATATGGATATAAATAGCTTTAAAGATGTGTTATTATCTTCATCAGTGCATCACATGCTTCTACTTTAGTGATAGAAGTATTAAGCATGAATGGGTATGTGTCTTCACTTCATGTTTTCAGTGGTATGTATTGAATGGTATGACATTGGTTGTGTAACAAATTTTTTTAATATAATAAATTATCTTTTTACATCTTAACAAGATTTAAACAACATGAATAAATTATCATAACTAGCTAGTTAAATTAATAATAAATAAGATACATGATTTATTTAGTCTTTCAATTATAAGATATATACAATTAGTTTTTTTTTTTTAAACATAAAAGGGTCCTTTTTGAAAGCAAATGAATGCATAATCCTTTTTCAAATAGTCAATATAGACTTAAACATCATAATAGTAAAAATATAAATGATACAACTTAGACAAGGTTACTAATAGAAGTTAAATGACCCACTCGATCGTGGTGGCATCCATAATTGGAGTTAACATGGTAAAAACAAAGAGTAGTAATATTTCGACTCCTATGGAACCGTTCAAGATACAAGCTTCTTGTCATTGCTAAAGAGATAAGACTCAATCATCACAATTTGTTCCTGTTAATAAAGATAAATATCATTTTCCAATATACATATGCTCCATGTTGTCCATAATTTGTACACGAACGATAATTCAATCAAATAAGTACCACAAACCTTTACCCTCATTCATGACTGTAGAGATTTGGTTGCAAAATACTTCATACAACGATCATCCACCTAACATGCATAAAATTTCACGTTATAAAAAGAAATGCAGTTTATTGGCCTCTTTAAACACTAAATGCCAGAAAAATACATCATGCCCATTAAATCGCCATCACTATCATGTAAACTCAAATCTTGATTCCATGGTAATAGGGCTCATAGTTGGTTAGAACTTTTTGATTAGGCAATTTGTAGAAGTAAAGTTAAAATAATTTCCATA